AAATCCAGGAATTTTCCAACTCCTAAAAAGAAGTCAGCTACACCTCTCCGAGTGTCGGCCGTTATTAGCGAGCAAGAGTCAAGGAGCATTTTCGATTTCAACGCTTATGTTGCCGAGAAGGCTAGCCTGGTGAACAAGGCGCTAGATGAGGCTGTTCTGGTGGGGAGGCCGCCTGCGAAGGCCATCCACGAGGCTATGCGGTACTCACTGCTGGCCGGAGGAAAGAGAATTCGGCCAATGTTGTGCATCGCCGCCTGTGAGGCGGTGGGGGGCAGCCAGGCGGCAGCCGTACGGGCGGCCTGCGCGGTGGAGATGATCCACACGATGTCCCTCATACACGACGACCTGCCGTGCATGGATAACGACGACCTCCGCCGGGGAAAGCCCACCAATCACAAGGCGTTTGGTGAGGACGTGGCGGTACTAGCAGGTAGCCCATAGTAATAATAATAACTAGTAAAATAGTTGTATATTACACATGTGCTTGTTAAAAAAAAAAAATCAATTTACTGAGAAAGATTATTTTATATTTATTTACTTTTTTACAAAACATATATATTATTATATATTTTAGAATGACACTTGTTACTTGTGTGACTTGCATGTATTATATTATAGTAATTTTTGTAACTTATATCATATAACTACTTGAAACATAAATATATTAATTGATAAATAATTTTATCTGTCTAACTAATATTAAAAAATAATTTTATTGTTATTACAAAGATAAATTTAATTTTTTTTTTTATACATACATTATGGATGTTAAATCGAAGATATTCAGAAGATGATTAATTTGATATATTATATATGTAAAACAAATGGAAAATACAAAAAGTTATTAACTTTTAAAACACATTTACAATTTCATGGTTACTAGTACAATACCCGTGTATTGTACGATTGCTTGTTAAAAAAAATCTTCAATTTTAAAATTAATGAGAAAGATTATTTTAAATTCTAATTACTTTTTTACAAAACATATATACTATTATATATTTTAAAATGACACTTGTTACTTGTGCGACTTGCATGTATTATATCATAGTAATTTTTATAAATTATATCATATAACTAATTGAAACATAAATATATTAATTGACAAATAATTTTATCTGTCTAAAAAATAATTTTATTGTTATTACAAAGATAAATTTAATTTATTTTTTTTATACATACAATATGGATGTTAAATCGAAGATATTCAAAAGATGATTAATTTGATATATTATATATGTGAAACAGATGAAAAATACAAAAAAGTTATTAACTTTTAAAATACATTTACAATTCAATGGTTACTAATACAACTAGTGTATTACACGATTGCTTGTTAAAATAAATATTCTTAAATTTAAAATCAATGAAAAAACAAATTATAAATTTCATTTACTTTTTTACAAGAAATTTATATTATTATTATTTTAGAGTGACACTTGTTACTTGTGTAACTTACATGTGTTATTGTATAGTTAATTTTCTAACTTATATCATATAACTACTTGAAATATATATATATATATACATATATTAATTGATAAATAATTTTATTTTTCTAATTAATATTAAAAATAATTTTATTATTTTTTTATAATACATACAATATGGATATTAAATTGAAATTCATCAAGAGATGATTAATTTGATATATTATATATGTAAAACTGATAAAAAATACAAAATTAATTAACTTTTAAAATACATTTATAATTCAATGGGTATAATAAGAAATAATATTAAAATGTAATTAATACATGTAACATGACCATAAATAATCAACATATTTATAGATAATCCGGACCTAATTATTTTTAGAATGGAAATAAATTAAAATCTACACAAGCCTGATAACGAAGCATGTAATTTTGCCACATAGATCTTAAAGAATGCGAGTCTGCCACTTAGGCTCAGCACATTCGGAATTAATATATAAGGGAGGGGATAATAGAAATGATATAAAAATACAATTAATACATGTAATATGACCATAAATAATCAACATATTTATAGATAATACGAACTTAATTATTTTTAGATTGGAAGTAATTAAAATATACCCAACTTGATAACGAAACGTGTAATATTACCACATAGGATCCAGAAACATACAAATCTGCCACTTACACTCAGCACGTTTTGATTTAATAATAGAGGATAATATTAATAATAATAATAATAATAATAATAATAATAATAATAATAATAATAATAATAATAATTAATTGATTTTTTTTTTTTGGTACTAAATGCATGTTTATTACTGGCGACCGAAGCTCGACTTTGAATTTTTTATCTTTAAATCTTGCCTTTTGCACATGGAGTTTATAAGATTTTTCTTTCAATTGGACTTTTTCCACTTCCTATTTTTCATATTTAAACAAAACGTATTCCACGTTTTTTTCAGTCATCGCGTGGTGTTTTTGCAAATCATGACTTTGCAATTCTCACGGCATTGAAAACTGTAACCTTTTTTTAAAAAAAAAAATCTGGATTTTTCGAACTAAACAATTTAAATATTCTTTTATTTTTCTTGACTACCATAGGCAGAAATTTACGCTTTGCCTATTTAATTATTCAAAAATTTACACTTTGCCTATAAAATATTTTTTTTAAACTTTGTCTGCCTAATTTTAATTTTTTCACTTTGTCATTTCCAGTCACCGCCGGCCTCATAAACCAACACGTGGCGTTTGTGTCTTATTGCCACGTGTGGCCGGCAGTGACCGAAAATGTAAAAGTGTACCAAAAATTGAAGTTAGGTAGACAAAGTGTAAAAAAAAAAAAAGTAGGTAAAGTGTAAGGACATGTTTGGATACAAGAATTTTCAAAAAAAAATCCAACATTTTAATCCAACAACATTTTTTAACTCAACCTCATTATCATCAATATTATCAATATAATAAAATAATATTAATCAATCATTCATACTCACTACATCAACTTTAATTCACTATTCATCCACTCATATTATTTTAACTAAGCATCACTTTAAATAATTTCTCTCCTACTTTTACATCAAATCAATTTTAATTATTTTATTTTAAATATTATTTTAATATACCCACTAACAACTAATTATACCACTTTTTTAAAAATTAACCAAACTCAACAAAAAATCCAACACCACCAAAATTTTTTATATCCAAATATGCTCTAAATTTCTGAATAGTTAGGTAGACAAAGTGTATTTATTCCTATATTTTATTATAAGCTACCCATAGGCCACAATTACTCTACAGTTACAATCCATCCGCTCCCGTAAAGATTTTGTTGGACATTTAGTAAAATGCATGTGTATTAGGCTATCTCTGGCCCTTATCTCTACTAGCGCGCGAACTTTACTTTATTCTAGAATAGAATGAAACATTTGTCCTGGCCTTTATCTCTACATTTTACTCTACATCAAATATATTATTTTTCTATTCATTTTTATTTCAAAGAAATTGGTATATATATGTGTGTTGTAAAATTTATGATTTTAATGAAATCTATGTGTTAAATTTTTATTTATATGGTGCCATTTTAATATTAAAAAATAACAAAATAAAATTATAATACATTAATAAATAAAAAAAACCCAAAGTTATTTAACATAAAAACACATTGCAAAAAGTTATTTAGTAAAAAAAAATACATTTACTAATACAAATTATACATAAATTATCAATAATATTATATTAAAACACATTAAACAAAAAAAAAAAAAAAATTGCAGTGTTAGCTACAGTGTTGCGCCACAGCGCCAGAAGTGGTGCAACACTATTTATTTATCTATTCTACCGCAGGAATCTGGCGCAAGGTTGGAGGGATATTTTGCGCTAATTTAGCGCAAATACTAGAATCAACCTATAACATGTTTTAAAAAAACTCTAGTAAGGTGCACGTACTCTGCACGTGAGCCATATTTGTCTAATTGAATTTGAATATGTCATTAAGCTGATTTAAAAATTATACACTATTTATGATATACATTTTAAGTAAAAGATAAGTGTATACACACAAATACACACACATACATATATTACACACTATTTCACACTTGTTGAATGATAAATTACACACTTGTCCTTGGCATCATATATTACACCACTCTATTTCACAATAATTACGATTGTGCCACCGCGTCCCACATGTAGAAGATGTGTAATTAATTAATCTCAGCCCTTAATTTGACAGATCCAACAGTGCATATTCATTTTTATTTCTTTCACTATGTATCATTCTCATATGATCCCTTCTATATATATATGGATTGGATCCAATGAGCCCACATATTAAAGTTTGAATGTGAGACTCATTCCTAGCCACTAGATTGGTACATTATGTGTGGCCAAGATTTAACTCTTCAAATAAATAATAATTCTTTATTTTTATTACTTAATTCTTTATTTTTATTATTTTAATTATTTAAATATTATTTTGACAATTGATCATTGACTTCGGCGTTGACCGTTGACTCCGGCGTTGACCGTTGACTTCTGGCGTTGACTTCCAGCATTGACCGTTGACCCTTAGTATGCATGGTGTAGGAAGTAAATATGCATACAGTACTATGCACTTAGTATGAACTAAATATGCATAAGAATTGAATTATATATGTTATCCTTATGAACTAAATATGCACCAATAATATCAACTATGTATGCACTGTTTATGTACTAAATATGCAAATTTTACTACCTAAATATGCATTATGAATGAACTAAATATGCAACGAAAATATACAATAAAAATATACATTTTATACAATTAAATTAATTAAATATAATAATTAATGATTATTATTATATAATTAATTTTAATTTTAAATTAACTAATAACACAAATAAACTTGTTATGATTGGATCTCAAATAAAATATGTATGCACTGTTCATGAACTAAATATGCATTTTGTAAGAACTAAATATGTATCATGAATTAACTAAATATGCTTCATAAATTAACTATATAAACATCATTATATATTTAATTTAAATATAACAAGTATGCATTTCGTATTAACTAACTATGCATCATAAATTACCTAAATATTCATAATAAATTAACTAAATATGCATCATAAATTACCTATATAAAATGTACATTTTATTGTATATTTTTCGCTGCATATTTAGTTCATTCATGATGCATATTTAGTTCATAACAAGTGCATACTTAGTAGATATTATTGGTGCATATTTAGTTCATAAGGACTGCATGTGCAATTCATATCCCATGCATATTTAGTTCATATTGAATGCATGGTACTTGATGCATATTTACTTCATACATATTGCTTACCAAGGGCAACATGTCAACGCCGGAAGTCAATGGTCAACACCGGAGTCAACGCCGGAAGTCAACAATTTTCGCCGGAAGTCAACGGTCAATGCCGTAGTCAACTAATAATTATGTTATTATTTAATTAATATATATTTGAAGGAGTTGACTCATTTTA